TATATGGTAGATTTAGTTTATGGATGTATTTTGATTATGATTAGGGTTGAATATTAATGACACGTCCCCCGATGAATGAATAACAGGGTAGCATGAAGAGCTCTCAAATGGTGCAATGGAGTGCGGATCATGTTAGGAGAGGAGCACCGCCTCCAATCATATTCAAATCATTAACCAATAATATTCTAATTATGGTCAAATGCCTTTTTGTTTTTTATGCACCACCTAATCATACAATTTTCCATACATATTCCCTTCTTCAATTCAACAACTCATTAATCTTAAATTCATATATTTATAACAATCTTAATGATAATGATTGGAGAAGCAAGCAACTTTGTTTAAAACAATACAATATGGGTTCATTTGTAATTTTTTGAAGTATAACTCTGAGATGCATAAATATATGATTTTTTGGCATTGATTCAAATAAGAGAAACCCTAACCAGCATAAAGAAGTCAATCTTCCTACTAAAAACGGATCTTATAAGATTCTCGGTTGCATGTGTTGGGACATTTGTAACCGAGTAAAGGAAGTTAATCCTTCATTGAATAATTAATCTTAATAAAAAAAAATGTTATGTGTGTCAGTCACCTATTATTACTTAATAAAACACTCATACTTAATAAACAATCTTTTAAAATTATAAATAATTAAATACAATAAATAAAATTATCTATAAAAAATAATTGTTATAATTTATATATTTAAAAAATAATAAAAATATGAGAGAAAAAATATACATAATTAGTAAAAAATATAGATGAAATTAAAAATATTAATTATAAAAAAATAATTACATAATTTTAACATTAGTTTCTATTTTCGTACACTAATGAGTTTTACATTATTTAGAAGTTGAGATTAAGAGTAATTTATACATTTTTTAATAATAAAATTGTAACAAATTAAATTTTCAAAACATACAATAGCTAAAAATCGATCCTAACGATGTTATTATAACGGACATAAAATTGGCAGTGACGTTTAACCCTTTAAACTTAATTATCATTTAATATATTTACTTAAGGGGATCAAGTCCCCCCAAATGTTTTATAATTTTCATATAATTTATGATTTTGTCTCCCCCAAACTTAATAATCATTTAATATATTTATAATTTTATCCTCTCACCCTTTCATCTTCTTTTACCTTTTATATTATTTATTAATAATATATTATTTGTCCCTCCAATATCAATTATCAAGTTTCGCCACTGAAGACCAAGACATTCCTAAACAGAATGTTGATACCCACTATGGGCCGAGAGTATAGTCTCATTCCTCCCCCCTAGTCATCGATTAGAGGTTATGTTTCGATAAGCTTACAAGTCTCACATTGCTACTCCTCATTTGTCATCGACTAAAGGTTATGTTCTTATAAACTCATGTGTCTCACATTATTTTTAAGAGTCGAAGTAAAAATAATTTATATATATACCCTCCTCCCTTAACCCACCATGATGAATTAGAACTCCAAAATAAACAATACTTTAAATATGAAATTTGACTTTAATAATATTATTATAATGGTAAGTCGAAAATAAATACAATTATTTTTTTATTCATTTTAAATTTTTTATTAATCTAAATAATTTATTTTATTGTTTTCTTTCATCTCTCAACTTTACTTTCCAATTCAAATAAAATGTAAAAAGAAATCTATTTGTTCTTATCGAGCTAAAGATGATCGGCAAGACATTCACCGGATAGAAGATGGTCGGCAAGACAAGGAGATGAAGTCGGTTGGCCAATGCTCGAACCAGCTTTAAAGACGATCTCTGAAAAATGTATAGGTCCACCTGCAAAAGACACTCTGACGCTCAAGTCAGCTATTAGACAAGATATTGATGTATATGAAAATGAGTTATGAGATGAGGATTATTCCCTAGTTAGATCCCTTTATATAATATTCAAAAGATAATAATGAATTGAGTTATAATAACTGATAGCACATAAAATAATAATTGATGTAAGATATTATAATAGAATAAAGATAATTAATAACAAAATAAATAAAAGTAATTTTGAATCGGGTAGGTACATAAGTCCCCCAAGCTTGGAGGATGAAGATTGAGCGTGAAAGAAGATATCGAATTAATAAAACGAATTTCTTGTCCTAAAAACTATAGAACCTTCATAAATGTTTCTTTGGTCGAGGATCAACTTTCTATGTGTTACAATAGCTTTTGCTAGTTTTCTTTCAATGAGCTCGTTTTTTACTTGCTTTTTTTGACCTGTATTTTTTGCAGAGATCATGGACCCAAGTTCAATTATAAAAAGGTGAGGGAAGAACTTAGTCGCGCACCGATTAATCCTTGGTTTAATTAGCCGGGGGCGTCCAAGCATCAACGAGTAGTGCGATCATCTTCCCCTACTCTCTCTGAATCTGATTACGTGGATTTGGAGAACATTCCTGATGAACAGTCACCCACAACACATATTTTGTCAGTTTTTGAGCTTTCTCTTGGTACTTCGAGAGTTATTATTAGGTCAAGAGGACCCTGTTTAGCGGTTGGATCATGTGTCCATAATTTCTGACATTGAGTCCTTGGGGCATACATCTCTTATTGTCAATCAACTTCCTATCCTCAATGTACCATCGCGATTTTATTCCAACACCATGAATCATGTTGGGTGATAATGCTCTGGTGTTTGTCTATAGTACATCATTTAAGGATTGACTTATGGCGATAAAATAAAAATATTGGAGAAAGATTTGGCTCAGTCTAAAAAAAAATAGTTACGTTAAACTCTCAATTGAAATCTTTTTGAGGATGTTATTTCTGTTAAGGTCAAGGAAAATAAAACACTTACTTCTCAAGCGTTGAAGGCTAAGAGTGACTTACAAGTAGGGATCATTCAATACAAAAGAGTTCAAAAGTAAAATTATTATATTAAAAGAAGAGTTGTCTCAATATAAGAATCAATTAAGTTGAAGAATATAATATTTAATAATTATAAAGATGGTTTTAAGAAAGTGATATAACAAATTGTCATATTCATCTATTATTTTTTAAGTTTGTTATTTATCTTTAAGTTCGTTGTTTATTTTAATATGAAAATAATATTCATAGTGAAATATAATAAATGATAGTCGATTAAAAATGATATTAATATTTTATTTTTAATTTTGATGTGTAATCTTTAATTAAATATTTTCTAGGCTTATTTCAACACGTCTTAATTTTTTACGGTCGAGGTTTATAAAGTTTTACTTTCCAATTCAAATAAAATGTAAAAGGAAATCTACTCATCTACTATTTTATATTTATCCGTGTTTATATATATACCATTTTTTTCCTTTAATCGATTTACTTTTTTCTTTCTCCCACGTGTGCAAGCCCAGATACACCATTCTAGTGTTGATAGAAAAGTGAGGGACAATGTAACTTTTGTAGGAATAACTGGCAAATACTTTTCCATTCTTAGTTGTCTTTGTATTTCTACATTTATGAACAAACTTTAAAATTTACTAATTTTATTTATTTTTATTTAATTTTTTCTCCTGAAGTACATAGTGAGGCTACGTGTTCCACATGACCACATGGCAGAGAGAGGTTATGCAGAAGAGTTTGTGACCATTAATTTCGGTCAAAGTTGAACATGGAGTTGGGAAATTAAAGTGTAGAAACTCTGTGGGTGTTATTAATGCCATGTCACATGCTTCTCTTGGAAACCCCACAAATGAGTTTGTTTAGGTTAAAATGAAAAGCATGGCAATAAAAATAATGAAGGCATGAGGCATGAACAGTACAATTGTAATGTACGAGGGTACCCTGAGTGTTAGGTCGGTTTGCATTGGAAACCAATGCAGTCAGAAGCTATGACTCGCTTTAAATATGTTTAATAAAATTATCATTTTATTAAACAACCCCATATGAGTTTAACCTTCAATACAAGAAACAAGCACAACGCAAAAAAAATATCTAATGTATAATATTATTAGTCTCCAATTCACCTTTGACTTTCAATTACCTTATTAGGTATAATACCCAATTGAATGTTATTGTTTTTATCACAACTTGCCTCACACATGAATTTAATTTTGATCAATGATTAGTGCTTTTTACACTATCGGTTAATTAAAAATGGTTTAAGCATAATTTTTAAAACAATTATTATAAAATCGAAAATATATTTACATTCTCAATATATCCTCTAGAAGGTTTTTAATAACTTTTAGATTTATATTTTTACATACTTAATATATTTATGGCAAGGTTGCTGCTACTTCAGGGTGTTTTGATTTTGAACAGCTAGTCAATTTACTTCAGAACACTGTTGTATCCTCTAGGAAAAGTAGTATTTTAAATCCTTTCTACTTGGAAATTGAAACAGCACTCTGTTATTGGTGTTTGACCCTTGTCTATCACATCACAGGTTCCGATTGATGAATGCTTTTTCGTGATTCAAAACTTGAACATAGGTGAGTGACCATAACTGCATCTCACTGGTTTGCTACATAGATTAAAACTTTGTTGTGAATGAATTCTTGTTAGAAGTAGGAACAGGATCATGTTCATGTTATGGACAAATTTGCAATGTGCCGAAACTTTCAGCCACAGAAAAATAGATCAGACATAAAAAATAATGCCAAACAATAACTGAAGTTTGATGACATTAATCACACAATCTTTAACCAGTCTAACATCAAATCTTTAGAGACATTTTACACCATAAGATTAAGGACTCTTTTAACAATTTAGATCTCCCCTTCTCAACTTTTTGACATGACAGAAAAACATGTAATTACTCACCTCACAAGTGCTTATAGTTAAAAAGAAAAATACCCATCTACTATCAAACAATCAAGCTCAAGAATTAGTGAATAAAACAATGGAAGTCATAATCATACTCCTTCCTTCATAAATCCCCAAAAGGGATCTCTTACATCTAATTGAACTCACTCTCTCTCTCTCTCTCTCTCTCTCTCTCATGCATTGGATTGGTTACAAGGTACAAAAAAAAAAAAAGGATAAAAACTGCAATATGCTGTACTATCTGCACAATGGACTCTGAGGATGGTGAGAATATGCAAGCTGGTTTTCTGAGCAGTACCCCATGATCATCTCTTCAATGCTGAGTCTACGTTCTTGGGAGGAAAACATGTCCCCTTTCCCTTCCACCATCTTCAAGATACTCTCAAAAACAGCCACTTCACAAGGAATTCTGAGAACACCTGTTTGTTGAAACCCAAATTCTTCTTCTGCTTCTCTCAGGAGCATCTGAAAGGCTTGGTGACCCAAATACTCAGTTGGTATGATGAACCTCTTAAGCTCTTCACCAACACAAACAGCAAGGTACCCTTTTGGAACACCATTGCTTGACCCTCCCTCACGTTCTGATAGGGAAAGGGTTCTCTTCAGAAACCTCATACTCTTACTGGTGGTTGTGGTGGTGGCCACAGTGGTGTTAGCAGTGGCTTTTGAAGAATCAGCAAGCTTTCTCCATTTCCTGAGGATCTGTTGAAGTCTAACAATTTCCCTGATCTTGTTAGATTTCTTTAGATCCGTAGACATGGTGACTTTGTTTTTGCTTCTGGGGTATTAGATAGTGTTTTGGCGGACTCTTTCCTTGTTGACTTGACTTGCCTTGGTTTATGGGGTGCATGCCTCCAATTTATAGGGCTTGAGGACATGGAAAGTAATTCTCGTTTCCCAATGATGAGAAGTTATTTTCGTTTTCTTAATGTAGAATACAGTGATGCCTACTTGAATTCTGCGTCACATGCATAACAAAAAGCCACTACACAAACAAGTTTTCCATGTTACGCTGAGTTCAAAAGTGTAAATTTCACTGTACATGACAAAAGAATGAATTAAAAATAAGAAAAAAAAAAATAGTCCGCACACTTATTGTAAAAGAAATAAAATTACCTGATTATTTCATTATAATTAATATATATAAAATATATATTTTTTAAAATAATAATTTAGACTTCATAAAATATAAATATTATAATTTTTATTTTCATTTAAAATATTGTTCGAGTTTTTGTTAATTTTTTATTTATTCCATTAAACTCAAGATTGATATGTCTAAAATGGGTAAAACAGGTTATAAGAATTATGGGTTGTTTGGATTTAGGAACTAATTTAAAGTAGTAGAAAAGTAAAAAAAAAAAAAAAAAGATAAATAGTGTCATGAAGTAAAACAGACTAATTTTAATCCGTGGCTTTTTTAGCCACTAAAAAAATTGGATGAATTGAATAGTCACTGTCAATAGATCATAAGAGGAACGGATGAGTTAATAGTTAGTACATCAATTTTTTATATTAAAAATTTTAATGTATTTTTTAAATATATATTTAATTATATGAATAATTTTTTAAATTTTTATTTATTAATCAATATTTTTATTAGATAAATTAAAAAAATATATAATATTTATATGTTCAATTACTTAATTATAATTAATAATTTAAAATTAATTAGCTAGTATCTATAATTTAAATTATAATATATTTCAATATTTCAATAATATAATGTAAATAAATATAATATTTTTAATTATAATATTTAATATTTTAATTTTAATATGTAAATTTTTTTAAAACCAGACTTATCAGTGTCATTTTGCTTTAATTCGTTATAAAATTACTAATTAATATATGAATATGTGTTATCTAATCGTTTATAATATATAATATTTTGAATGTGCAAAGTTTGCAAAATCTAGATATTAAAATTTAAATAAATTTTAAAATTATTTTCCAAAGTTATTAGTTCCCAAAGCACTAAACATTTTTGTCCGCAACTTATTTTTATATCAAGTCACTCATGATTTAAGTTCTATTTCAATTAGAGATCTAGAGTTTCACTACTAAAAATATTTGTTACAAATAAGTTTTCAAGCGTCGTTTATAGATAACCCATAAATTTTATTTCAACAGATCATAAATTTTATGCAATACACTCACAATATGATATTATACACTTAAGAACAAAACTAGATAATTTTGTTAAATAAACAATAAGAACAATATATTAATGGATATCTATGAATATTCTGAAAATAATGGATAGATTATTATGAATGAGACAACTATTATTTGTATAAATGACTAAATTTTGTTTAGTTAATAAAAAAATCCTAAAGGATATTTATATAAGATTTTTTTAATTAAATTAGATGGTAGTCTTAAGGTTTGAATTTTAATAATAATGTAACTTTGAATATTGAAGAAATTGTGTGAAGGAGGAAATATTAAGTGTGTTAGAGACTCAATGGTATTGGTCACAAAAAAAAAATTATAAGATTTTTAAAAATCAAAGTATTTAATAAAAGTAATATGATACTTTGTTCTGTGAAGTTTCATCAACTCCCGAAAGTATTAAAACTCTCCCCTAATAAAAAACCAATCATAATAAAATTTGTTTCCTGACAGCGTTATTTTTCTAAAACTAAACAAAACATATATACTCCCTAATATGAATAATCATGCATAGTGTCTTTACCAACCAATTCATTTACTTTTCTAATTTTTAAACATGAATATAAGACAATATTATTGCCCTTTAACTTTAGAATAGATGGTGTTTGATCCACCTTTTTCCCTTAAGAGGAGAAATTAAGTTAATAACTTAGTTCTTATTATAATTTTTTTTAATATCTGAAAATAATTTAACCAATTTAATATATTAAAAAACAACTTTGTTTAAAAGAAATTTTTTAACTGTATTTATCAAACTTCTCCTTTATTCATAAAAAAGTGTTTATAAGAACTTTATCTGTCTAGTAACTTTTAGGCCAAAAAAATATTAGGCCCCACGTTAACATAAACTTAGTACAAGAATAAACTACAAGCTCCTTAGCAATAAAAAAAATATGTAGCTGCAAAATTATGATTCTATACTTGGTCTCCTTCCATATCAGGTTCCCCATCCTCTATCTTACTTTCGTATTCAAAATCTTCATCAAGATTCTTCATGGTTCTCCCAAAAATAAATGACTTCGTTCCCATTGTTGTAAAGGGCATCAAGCCAAATGCTCGGGCAGTTTTTATCTCCCTGGCAACCTTCCTTTGAGCCTTTGCACTAATGCCAGTCTGCTCAATCATCAAGATGAAACAGTGTTAAGATCTCACAATTTTAAACAAGTTTATGAATTCTTTAACAGGAGAAGAAAATAAAAAGAAAAAATGAGATGCAATTCTTCAAAAAACTAAAACCAGCTTATAAATAAGTAAAAATTATGTTTTGAATAAACAAACATGTAAGAACTTATATAAAAATTGACTTGTACATTAGCTAATTTAACTTTTGTAAAATTTCTTTAAATTTTTCTTCATATTTCCTCTTCTATCAATGCTTATATGTTTGGGTAGGGAAACAATACAAGAAGGAAAATCAGTGCAATGCTAATTCTGAAATACCCATAATTTATTTTTGGGTTAAATATGTTTTTGCCCCTTATACTTTTTGTGAAAGTTGGTTTAGTTCTTTTATTTTAAAAGTTAACAAATTAGTCCTCAAACTTAAGGAAAAAAAAAATTATCTAATCAACTTTATAACAGCAAAAAAGTGTTACTAAATATTAAATTTAGATATAAAGAATAACTAAAATCATATTTAATTATGTTATCAATTCTATTAAGATAAAAAAATCATAACTAAGTGTTAAACTTAGGTATAAAAAAGAACTAAAGATATAAATTTTCAAAAAATTGAAGGATCAATTTGAAAATATAAGGATCAGAGACAAATTTACCAAAAAAGAAAAAGTTGACCAAAAACATATTTATCCCATCATTTTTCCTTTCACGATAATCCTCCATCTACCTTACGACTTTAGTGCCCAATATAGTTTTAAAGCTTACCTTGCTTCTCTTGATAATAATTCCTGCCTCTGTTATGAATTTTGCCAGGAATCTAACATTCTGCATGAAAACATAAATACTACTGAGAGCCATTCCAAAAATAGCATCAATATTTAATAGGATGATACTTTGTTATGAAGGGAAACATGCAATCATAGCTTCACTAGCAAGAATGAAAGAAAAGCCACGGTAACTAAACAGAGTTTTAGCATATATTTACCGCGCCTTCATCTGCTTCACTGAATTTAAAATTGACTAACCCATTAACTGATTACAACTTTAGCACAAGAAGCTGGCGAAAATTTATCCTACCTCCCTTCAGTTCCCTTCAAAATTTTACCACCAAACCAGCCTTATATCAATCATTTTTAGTTTTATTGTTAAAGTACAAGACATATATATATGGGAGGCCAAGATGGAATGGGTTAAGGTGGTTGGTTGACTTAGACACCATTTTCAAATATCCTAAAGTGAAAATATGGTGAGCAGAGTATACACACAACCTTACAATCTATATAAGATAGTTTTGACAATTAACACGTTTTTATTCATTTCTAGTTTTTCTTTCACCAAAACAATGCACCCAAAAGATAAAAAAACAAAAAATTAATATGAGATGTGAAAGTGTCTCTCACTAAGAGATAAGCGCAAGTCATGAACTATTTTATATTATCACAATAGTAATATAAAAAAAAAAAAAAATCATGAAAGTGACAATTGTCACTTCAACGTAGCACTCAGAAGTATATACTAGATGCCTTACTAAAAAGAAACTAAGGAACTACTTGACATAAGTGCTAACCCTGAAATCTGCTTGACTAAGAACTTCCTTTGGTGGTTACAATGAATTCATTCCTTGCATGAGGCTTGCGTACACCAGGTTTTGTAAGATCCAGAGCCTGTATGAAGAAAGATACTGCACATATTAGAAAACTAGTACATACATATAATGTAAAATAAACATTAACAGAGTAAAGGTTGAGATATCTTGCATTGAATAGGATATTATAGCCATAGTTGTTTAAAGCAGACAGAATAAAAGTGAAGATATGATCAAAAGCATTTAACATGATTAGTTAATCATACCATTGAATATGAACAAGCCAGTGTGTATATATTAATGCATGTAATTTAAACCCTTCAATGCAATAGAGTGAAATTATGTGTCAAATTAAAAAGGATAGACAAGATACAGACAGAGTATCATAATTCTGTCAAATCACCTAAAACTCTAAAAAAGTCATTACAACACAATTTTCCTTTGACGAGGAACGTGAGTACCTAGGGTTAGATTTGAGGGTTATAATATTTGTGGATCACACAAGATGAGAACACCCATTCAAAATTTCCGGAATGCATATTCTTGCAAAATATAAGTCTCCCCTCCATTTTTAATTGATAAAATCAATGAAGATACTTCTGTTTCAATTCATGTCCTTCTATACATAAGATATCAAGAAATTTAAAACCTCTTTCATTACTTTCCAGCCATATTCACATTCCTTATCTCATCGACCTGCATGAGCTCAAGTCAATTGATTGCTATTTCCAACCATTTCCCAACATTTTCTGACACCCACACACTAGTTACCAAAGTTTCTTGCTACTCAACCCCAATCACACTTCCTGGACCATTACAATTCTCTATTCCCACCCAGGCATAGCTTGCAAATCTTGTTCTTTTTTATCACCACCATTCTTCTACTGAACCACCCAACACCCATTTATCTATTATTTAGAATAAATTGTGAATATCACTTTAATTTTAAATATCTAAAAATACATACATTATAGTTAATTACGTTAGAGATCTATAATCTCAACTTAATGGCCATCCTGCTATTCCACTATAGCATTTTTGGTGTCAGTCACTTCATGATGCTATCAGTAATGAAAACTACCCTGCCAGACACTCTTCACTATATTTCATACAATACCTCCCACCAAACATGTGTACAAGTATCATTACATCAAACATCAATTCGGACAAAACATTTGATGCCCTCATGCCCATTACAGAATTAAATATAAACAAACATCTAAAATTAAAGATTTATATAAAAACAATGATAACCAAGGAAGATAGCCATTGTTATTCAACTTACCTTTACATCATATTTTGAATCAATTGGAAAATTGGCATCATATCGAAAAGCATAATCCTCTTTGTTTATTTCTTCCTCATCAACTTCAAAGTATGTGGCAGCATTCTTCAATTTTACATCCATTCCATCTAATAATGTGTCATGACTCTCTTTAAAAAGATGCATCATCTCAGAACTAGCACCATTTCCTGAACCAGGTCTCTGTCGAGCCATTCGCCGTTGGTTCATCTTTTCAAGGATGGGATCAAATTGGCCATATCTAGCACGATTTTCACCAAACTTCCCAAACTCCTCAGGAGACTCAGACTTGTTAGCATGCTGATCCCTCATGCCCATTACAGAATTAAATATAAACAAACATCTAAAATTAAAGATTTATATAAAAACAATGATAACCAAGGAAGATAGCCATTGTTATTCAACTTACCTTTACATCATATTTTGAATCAATTGGAAAATTGGCATCATATCGAAAAGCATAATCCTCTTTGTTTATTTCTTCCTCATCAACTTCAAAGTATGTGGCAGCATTCTTCAATTTTACATCCATTCCATCTAATAATGTGTCATGACTCTCTTCAAAAAGATGCATCATCTCAGAACTAGCACCATTTCCTGAACCAGGTCTCTGTCGAGCCATTCGCCGTTGTTTCATCTTTTCAAGGATGGGATCAAATTGGCCATATCTAGCACGATTTTCACCAAACTTCCCAAACTCCTCAAGAGACTCGAGACTTGTTAGCATGCTGATCCCTCTTGCCCATTACGAGAATTAAATATAAACAAACATCTAAAATTAAAGATTTATATAAAAACAATGATAACCAAGGAAGATAGCCATTGTTATTCAACTTACCTTTACATCATATTTTGAATCAATTGGAAAATTGGCATCATATCGAAAAGCATAATCCTCTTTGTTTATTTCTTCCTCATCAACTTCAAAGTATGTGGCAGCATTCTTCAATTTTACATCCATTCATGTGTCATGACTCTCTTCAAAAAGATGCATCATCTCGGAACTAGCACCATTTCTGAACCAGGTCTCTGTCGAGCCATTCGCCGTTGGTTCATCTTTTCAAGGATGGGATCAAATTGGCCATATCTAGCACGATTTTCACCAAACTTCCCAAACTCCTCGGGAGACTCGAGACTTGTTAGCATGCTGATCCCTCATGCCCATTACGAATTAAATATAAACAAACATCTAAAATTAAAGATTTATATAAAAACAATGATAACCAAGGAAGATAGCCATTGTTATTCAACTTACCTTTACATCATATTTTGAATCAATTGGAAAATTGGCATCATATCGAAAAGCATAATCCTCTTTGTTTATTTCTTCCTCATCAACTTCAAAGTATGTGGCAGCATTCTTCAATTTTACATCCATTCCATCTAATAATGTGTCATGACTCTCTTCAAAAAGATGCATCATCTCGGAACTAGCACCATTTCTCGAACCAAGTCTCTGTCGAGCCATTCGCCGTTGTTTCATCTTTTCAAGGATGGGATCAAATTGGCCATATCTAGCACGATTTTCACCAAACTTCCCAAACTCCTCAGGAGACTCGGACTTGTTAGCATGCTGATCCCTCATGCCCATTACAGAATTAAATATAAACAAACATCTAAAATTAAAGATTTATATAAAAACAATGATAACCAAGGAAGATAGCCATTGTTATTCAACTTACCTTTACATCATATTTTGAATCAATTGGAAAATTGGCATCATATCGAAAAACATAATCCTCTTTGTTTATTTCTTCCTCATCAACTTCAAAGTATGTGGCAGCATTCTTCAATTTTACATCCATTCCATCTAATAATGTGTCATGACTCTCTTCAAAAAGATGCATCATCTCAGAACTAGCACCATTTCCTGAACCAGGTCTCTGTCGAGCCATTCGCCATTGTTTCATCTTTTCAAGGATGGGATCAAATTGGCCATATCTAGCACGATTTTCACCAAACTTCCCAAACTCCTCGGGAGACTCGGACTTGTTAGCATGCTGATCCCTCATGCCCATTACGGAATTAAATATAAACAAACATCTAAAATTAAAGATTTATATAAAAACAATGATAACCAAGGAAGATAGCCATTGTTATTCAACTTACCTTTACATCATATTTTGAATCAATTGGAAAATTGGCATTATATCGAAAAGCATAATCCTCTTTGTTTATTTCTTCCTCATCAACTTCAAAGTATGTGGCAGCATTCTTCAATTTTACATCCATTCCATCTAATAATGTGTCATGACTCTCTTCAAAAAGATGCATCATCTCGGAACTAGCACCATTTCCTGAACCAGGTCTCTGTCGAGCCATTCGCCGTTGGTTCATCTTTTCAAGGATGGGATCAAATTGGCCATATCTAGCACGATTTTCACCAAACTTCCCAAACTCCTCAGGAGACTCGGACTTGTTAGCATGCTGATCCCTCATGCCCATTACAGAATTAAATATAAACAAACATCTAAAATTAAAGATTTATATAAAAACAATGATAACCAAGGAAGATAGCCATTGTTATTCAACTTACCTTTACATCATATTTTGAATCAATTGGAAAATTGGCATCATATCGAAAAACATAATCCTCTTTGTTTATTTCTTCCTCATCAACTTCAAAGTATGTGGCGAGCATTCTTCAATTTTACATCCATTCCATCTAATAATGTGTCATGACTCTCTTCAAAAAGATGCATCATCTCGGAACTAGCACCATTTCCTGAACCAGGTCTCGTCGAGCCATTCGCCGTTGTTTCATCTTTTCAAGGATGGGATCAAATTGGCCATATCTAGCACGATTTTCACCAAACTTCCCAAACTCCTCAGGAGACTCGGACTTGTTAGCATGCTGATCCCTCATGCCCATTACAGAATTAAATATAAACAAACATCTAAAATTAAAGATTTATATAAAAACAATGATAACCAAGGAAGATAGCCATTGTTATTCAACTTACCTTTACATCATATTTTGAATCAATTGGAAAATTGGCATTATATCGAAAAACATAATCCTCTTTGTTTATTTCTTCCTCATCAACTTCAAAGTATGTGGCGAGCATTCTTCAATTTTACATCCATTCCATCTAATAATGTGTCATGACTCTCTTCAAAAAGATGCATCATCTCGGAACTAGCACCATTTCCTGAACCAGGTCTCTGTCGAGCCATTCGCCGTTGGTTCATCTTTTCAAGGATGGGATCAAATTGGCCATATCTAGCACGATTTTCACCAAACTTCCCAAACTCCTCAGGAGACTCGGACTTGTTAGCATGCTGATCCCTCATGCCCATTACGGAATTAAATATAAACAAACATCTAAAATTAAAGATTTATATAAAAACAATGATAACCAAGGAAGATAGCCATTGTTATTCAACTTACCTTTACATCATATTTTGAATCAATTGGAAAATTGGCATCATATCGAAAAGCATAATCCTCTTTGTTTATTTCTTCCTCATCAACTTCAAAGTATGTGGCGAGCATTCTTCAATTTTACATCCATTCCATCTAATAATGTGTCATGACTCTCTTCAAAAAGATGCATCATCTCGGAACTAGCACCATTTCTCGAACCGGGTCTCTGTCGAGCCATTCGCCGTTGGTTCATCTTTTCAAGGATGGGATCAAATTGGCCATATCTAGCACGATTTTCACCAAACTTCCCAAACTCCTCGGGAGACTCGGACTTGTTAGCATGCTGATCCCTCATGCCCATTACGAAATTAAATATAAACAAACATCTAAAATTAAAGATTTATATAAAAACAATGATAACCAAGGAAGATAGCCATTGTTATTCAACTTACCTTTACATCATATTTTGAATCAATTGGAAAATTGGCATCATATCGAAAAACATAATCCTCTTTGTTTATTTCTTCCTCATCAACTTCAAAGTATGTGGCAGCATTCTTCAATTTTACATCCATTCCATCTAATAATGTGTCATGACTCTCTTCAAAAAGATGCATCATCTCGGAACTAGCACCATTTCTGAACCAGGTCTCTGTCGAGCCATTCGCCGTTGTTTCATCTTTTCAAGGATGGGATCAAATTGGCCATATCTAGCACGATTTTCACCAAACTTCCCAAACTCCTCGGGAGACTCGGACTTGTTAGCATGCTGATCCCTCATGCCCATTACAAAATTAAATATAAACAAACATCTAAAATTAAAGATTTATATAAAAACAATGATAACCAAGGAAGATAGCCATTGTTATTCAACTTACCTTTACATCATATTTTGAATCAATTGGAAAATTGGCATCATATCGAAAAACATAATCCTCTTTGTTTATTTCTTCCTCATCAACTTCAAAGTATGTGGCAGCATTCTTCAATTTTACATCCATTCCATCTAATAATGTGTCATGACTCTCTTCAAAAAGATGCATCATCTCAGAACTAGCACCATTTCCTGAACCAGGTCTCTGTCGAGCCATTCGCCGTTGGTTCATCTTTTCAAGGATGGGATCAAATTGGCCATATCTAGCACGATTTTCACCAAACTTCCCAAACTCCTCAGGAGACTCAGACTTGTTAGCATGCTGATCCCTCATGCCCATTACAGAATTAAATATAAACAAACATCTAAAATTAAAGATTTATATAAAAACAATGATAACCAAGGAAGATAGCCATTGTTATTCAACTTACCTTTACATCATATTTTGAATCAATTGGAAAATTGGCATCATATCGAAAAACATAATCCTCTTTGTTTATTTCTTCCTCATCAACTTCAAAGTATGTGGCAGCATTCTTCAATTTTACATCCATTCCATCTAATAATGTGTCATGACTCTCTTCAAAAAGATGCATCATCTCAGAACTAGCACCATTTCCTGAACCAGGTCTCTGTCGAGCCATTCCCCGTTGTTTAATCTTTTCAAGGATGGAATCAAATTGGCCATATCTAGCACGATTTTCACCAAACTTCCCATACTCCTCAGGAGACTCAGATTTCTTAGCATGCTGATCACCAGTACCATTATCTGCTCAAACATTGGGCAAGAAGTTCATAAAGAATAAATGTAAATCCTCTGTATGACTATCAGTGACAGATACGAAAAGAAGTTGAACAACCTTATAGAATTTGGGAAGTTGTGATTCAAGCACAGATTACACACTATTGAATTTGTACTTACATGAGTTGGGTATAAAAATGAATGCTAATAAAGTCCCAATGATATGTTACATGTCACATGCTGAAATCTGATTAGGCATGTGATGCAGAACACATGAAATTCTCATATGATTAAAGCTTAAATCTATAGAGGTTTACTATACAACATTTTTCTTTCCTTCTTATTCCAAAAATTATGTGATGCTCCGTTTGAATATTCAACAGAAATATACTTCATTTTTGGCCTAGGCACAACACTGCATATTGTGAAAATTAAAATCCAGAAATGTAGTTAACTCTTCTCAGTACTGGACAAAATGTACAAATACCTAAGAACATGAAGATAAGGAATTTTCCAGGACACCTAAGAACAAACTGAAGGTGACAGATGGCAGATATTAATCAACCCAAAAAAACAGAAGAAAGGTCTGCACAGTCAACAAGATTGTAGCTCAATCAGAACTAACTTAAGTCAAGCCCGATCCTACTTCCAAATATAATGTTGCTTCTCTCTCTCTCTCTGTATATATATATATAATGTACTATACTAGTAACTTATACTAGTCACTGCCAAGAAAACTTATCCATAACAATGATGGTACACATCCACAGAATTGTAATTGTAAAAATTTGCATCTCAACACTACATTTGTTTATCAACATTTACTATCACACTAGTCAGATTCCAGACAAAGAATTTCAATTATTGGTTAAACTACTATAGTTGAAACGTTACACAAAATTAAAATACATTCTCACTTATCAGCCAAAAACTTTTCCATTTTTAACAATGGTAAGAGGCAGGCTGACAAGCCTCATGCTCTTAGTTTGCTATTAAACTTTTGATCATAGAGGAGTAAAGCATAAAACATTCACAAACTCAAACGTCAAGGAAACCGAACATGTATACAGCCAATCATCAAAATCAATTACCAATATATCAGCAACACTGCTGACAGTCAGAGTATTGCTTAAAAAGGAGACGATAAACAGACCAAGTACCTGTAAATCTCCAAGTCGAAAGACTTCTGATCATATGAGTCTGATAAAACTGATGTGACAAATTGGTACTTAATGACCTAACTGCAACCAAAACGATCTTCATTTTCTTCCTGCTTCAAACAAATGATGAGCTCTACAATAGATTTTACAGTAGCTAAAATTATAACAGCACACAAATCTCAGAGGAAATTATCTCACTTCTGTTACGCTGAATCTAAATTTCTAACTAAACCTTAAGAAATGTCTCAAATATTTCCCTATCCAAGGAAATTGTATCACAAAAATTTAAAATAAATAATAGCTTTCTGTTTTAAAGACATTCATAATACACATACACTTATTTATCCATGTATGACAAAACCTATTACACTTTAAAGTTTAGCAAAAGTAAATAGGGCCACTGGCAATTTGGTTTAAAAGTCAGCATTCAGAAGACACCAACGCAATAAACTTAAGTAAATGATATTATCCACACCAGCACTAAGTTATAATATATATATATATATATATATAAACCTAAGAGCCAATCATTCTTGATCACATAAGATAAAAAATCTTCATTCCCACCAAGGTAATGAACTTTCATCTTGAGTACTTGTAAACTGCCAACCAAGTAACAACTTAACCAATTGTTCTATCAGACAGGACTGAACTGTTCCTAATATCATACAAGCCGTATAAATCTCAAATATTAAGCAATTGGAAACATCACAAACAAAATTGAAGTGAAACAAAACTAAATGCGGCGTCACAAATGCATGCTACAAATGACAAATCCAAGCCAAAAACAAAACATTTTGAAATATGAAGGTTTGTCCTTCAACACTAAATTTGTCTTACTTGTCATATCCCCTTGATAGAAATTTTCAAGTTGCAGACCCAGATTTTAAATTTTGTTAATTTCTGCCTTAAGGGGACGGTGTTATTCTGCACCCAAACTTTTACCCTCTTGGGGTCTTATTTGTCGCAAGCACCGAAGATTTGAACTCAAAAACGAAAAGTTCTTATAGTGTATCCAGATTGTGCAATTTAAACACGATAATTAATATTAATAAGGAATATACATTGTTTGTTTGTGAAATCTAAAATATGACCAAACATGAAGTATGCGGAACATGAAAAGGCAAAGGAGCTCTTACCTTACCTGAAAAATGAGAACTTTGGTACTCCAAATCGAAGGGTTCCAAGTTAGGAAAAGTGAGCGATGATTGTTGGAAAAGATGGTGGCGCGGCAGCAAAACAAAACAATGACGTCGTCTTACAGTGGTGGCGCAGCACGAGCAAGGGCTTTGTTCTTCTGTGCCTGTCTGCCGGGTCGGGTCATAAGATTGCAAAAATTTCCTATCCGATAACAAAATTTGAGATGACTACAAAATTAAATCATTTCAAATATGAACTATTTGTTATAATAAACTATAACAAACATTTACTTAAATAAAAACTATAAAAAGACTTTTTTAATGAATTTGCAGAAAAATATTTTAGTATAATTAAATTTATTAAAAAATATTACATAAAATTATATATATTTATTAATAAAGAGATTATTTTATGTAATATTTTTTAGCGTATATAATTATTCTCTATTTTGTTCTTAATATTATTTAACTATTTATTTCAATTGTTTTTTAATTATGATTATATTTCTAATATTTTGATAACCATTTGCATAAACCATCTTCTAGTAATCTACACAAGGATGTTAAAAGCGAACTAACCTAAAAAAAATCACAAACTAATTTTAAAACTTGAAATTTTATTGAATTTGTTTAATTCAAATTTTTCAAAATTTTGTTCGTATTTCAGATTAACCTAAAAATTGAATCATACCTCTTAATATATTAAAATATAATATAATAGATTTAAAATTAATAATTAACTAATATATATAATTATGTTTATAATAGATTTACAATATATTTATTTTTATAAAAAATATAACAATTTCAAATTCTAATTTATATTACAAGAGATAGCAAACACCTTAATATTTATAAAATTTAAAAAAAATAAAAGTTAGGAAAAATATGACATTGATGATAAAGAAAGTTGCAGGTTCCTGTTTTATGATCGATCACAAAAAATAAAGTTGTCACCTTTGTAACATAACCCCTGTTCCCGAACATCATCAACGATCTTGCCATAGGTATACCTCAAAGGCATTGTCCTTGTTAATGCGAAATCGGTAAAGGGATCGAAAAATGAAGGAAAGAAAAATCGAAGATCATTCGATTTGTAAAAGACATCGAGAACGTATTTTCGATGAAATTGGTAAAAGATATCTGGTAACCGCAAGGATAAAAGTACATCGAGAATAAAAAATCGAGAATCGAAGAAACAAATTTTGATGTCTATTGTTGAAGTTAGAATAGTACAAAATTAAAGGGAATCAAAAGGAAAATTCAAAACACTCGATGTCTGAAATCGAGATCGAGGGAGCGGTTAACACACACAGAGAACGTGAGAAACAGTTTCTAAACCGCTACAGAGATCGAAGATCAAGGGAGCAGTTCTCTTATACGTAAGAACGTGGAATGCAGTTTTTAAACTGTAAGACTAAGTACGTGCACGTAGGATCATGGTGATAGTTTTTAACCACTCTTGGGAGGTTACTTGGAGGATGCTCTATAAATAGAGCGAAGACTGGAAAAAGAAAGGGGAATTGGCAGAGAGAACAGAAATACTAGTGAGAAGTCTATCGGAGAACGACGCAATCATGAAGTTTCTGGCGATCTGGATTTCCATTTTTATTGATTACCTGTACCTGTTAGTGGCAAATCGAGAAAAACAATCGGAATCGAAGGAAAAGAAATGTGACTCGATAAGATAAACAAAAATTCATTCGATGTCCAATTAGAAACACGTAGCATATAGCATCGAGAAGCACAATCGAGAATCGAATGACTGTTGTCAAATAAAGACTAAGTCATATAAGACCAGGGCTAAAAAGGAATCGTAAGCAATTCGAAATTCTCAAAGAATACAGAATCGAGAGTAAAGAAAACCAATGTGGACATCGAGATTTTGGCCAAATCGTGAAAGGAAGTGAGTCGAATGCACGCATAAAGAGCAGTTTTGAAATCATGGGAAAAAGTCGGAGATCATGAGAACGTGGGAAACTATAGAAGATAAACTGCCATACGCACGTAGAACGTGGTAGCAGTCGTGTTAACTGCTCTTAGGAAGGTTTGAAGGATGCCCTATAAATAGAGCAAAGGAAGAAGGAACAGGGGAGCAAAAATTGGCAGAGCACAGAACCAGTAGTGAAAAGTCTACCGGAGAAACGACGAACACCATGAAGCTTCTGGCGGTCTGGATTTCCCTGCTCACGGAGTACATTTATCGCTTTCTTTATTTTCCTTGGTAATTTACTTTCGAGCAATTTCGATTCAGCAATTTCATGTTTTTGTACTTTACATTCAATGTCATTTCGATTCAATGTCAAATTAGATTTCTGCATCTAAATGTCTAGTCATTCAATATTCTGTCCATTTCGATTTTCGCATGTTTCGATTTCCTGCTATTTACTTTTCACGCAATCTTAATGGGTTTAGCACTTTACATTGTCTCGCACTTTAAAATTTCCGTTTTTTCGATTTGACGTCTTTACTGCTTTCGATACTTTCAATCACAAAAATATCAAAAAGAGTTTTCAATACATGTAATTGTCGATTCTCATACACGTTGTCGATTGAAAATCAAATTGCTAGCCTAAGTAAAAAGAACTTACGTGGTAGAATTTTGATTAGGACCAAAACACCCTTAGAATCGAAATCGATCAAAATTCCACCAGAAACAAATTGGCGCGCCAGGTAGGGGTAGTCTTGTGTTGAAAAAACACAAAAGAGGTTAGTTCGAGAGTGTATGAGATTAAGAAGTGGGAGAGTTATAAGAATGAGTCAGAATTCATCAAGTAGTCAGAATAACAATGAGGGTCTAAGTGGTGTGCTCTCACCAAATACCGGGGGGCAAGGGCACAATGGGAGTATGCCTGTAGTATCGACAACTGTAAGTACGTCGATACCAACAAGTAATGAACAAAATCCAGGAACATTGGCAAACACCCATATAGGGTCTAGTATGACGATACCAAACAATATGCAAACTATGGGAAACCCCATAACCACATATGCAGGGCCATATACGAGTGTAAGACCACCTGGTTTTTCACCCAATAACATGAACGGAGCTGGCACTTCGTCGATACATAGAAATTCACGATATAGCTTAGGAATGCCTCCAAACGTAGGTACATTTCAAACCCTAGGCATGCCGCAAAACTTTGGAGTTGCTTCACATTTAGGGACGTCTCAAAATTCGAGTGACATCACAAAACTCGGGGAGTGGGCAAAATTTAGGTATACAACGGACATCTCCGAATCTAGATCCTAGAGGGAATCCCGATCATGGGAGGTATGCATTTGATAGGGACTATCATCGATCTAATTTTGAGAATATCGAAAATACCAATACCTGGAATTTCCAAGTAACTCCCTAGGAATACTTAGACAACAAATGGATGAGAGTAATTTTGAAATGGTGAATATGTTATCACAGCAGTTGACTACGGTCCTAAACCCATTAGTTCAAAATACTACTGCTAGTTTTGAGATATTAGCAGATCAAATGTCTCGAATTGGAGACGCATTGGCTGTACCTCGACAAACGAGGATGGAGAATCATGCCAATCAGAATATTAATCCCCCTTATTTATTAAGAAGAAATCGGAACAATGATCAATATCAACAAATAGGGAATGAATATCAACATGTGAGGAATGATATTTATGGAAACCTGAATGAGGGACTTCAAAATATGCGTAATCAGAATAATATGCAATATAATCACATGTTAGGACAAAGGATGAATCTCCAAGGGATGGATTTAAGACCACCTAATCAGACATATTTTGTATCTCCTTTTCCAAATGCGATTCTCGAAACAGAGTTGCCTCGAGGATACAAAGTGCCTAAATTCACTAAGTTTGCTGGAGAAGTTGGTGAATCGACTATCGAGCATGTAGCTCGATATCAAATCGAATGTGGAGATTTAGCGATGAGTGAAGAGCTAAAAATGAAATATTTTCCTAGTTCTTTGACTAAGAATGCTTTTACTTGGTTCACTTCATTGCCACCCAATTCGATATACAATTGGTTACAGTTAGAAAGAAATTTTCATGAGCAATTCTTTAGAGGAGAGACTCAAGTAAGTCTCATTGATTTGATGAACATAAAACGATATAATCATGAAAACATAGATGATTATCTGAATCGATTTAGACAAATGAAATCGAGATGTTTCACTCAAATTCCTGAATATGAATTAGTCGGATGGCTTCCGCAGTTTAGAATTCTCGATCGGAAAAAATTAGTGAATTTGCCATTAAATGACATGGCTCAATTAGCCGATAAAGTGAGAAGAGTGGAGCAAATCGAATATGAGAAACAAAGATACAAGAAATTTGAGAAACCTGTGAAAAAAGAAAGAATAGCCTATATAAATGATGTGTATGAGGTAGATCCCACGACAGAAAGTAATATCGAAGAAAATGTCGATGAGAAAGTAAATATAGCAGAGCTCAAAATAGGAGCTCCATATACTTGTAAATTACTACAGTAAGAATGAAGTGAAAGATAAAATGGCAAATCGAACTTATACTTTCGATGTAACAAAGGCGTATAAGATCTTCGATATTCTATTAAAAGATAAACAGATTAAGTTGAGTGACGATCACAAACTCGCCTCTGCAGTAACAAAGAAGTGGTCGAAAGTATTGCAAATTTCATAATGTTTATGGACACCGGACTAACAATTGTATACATTTCAGGAACACGATCCAAGATGCGATCGATCAAGGAAGGTCGAAGTTTGGAGAAATTGCAATGAAAGTGGACACGAATCCTTTCGAAGTCCAAGTGGGATATATTGAATCCCAAATTGAGATAAATGATGATCGTAGATCGACGAACGCCACCTTCATAGGCATGGTCGATGTTACCGAAGACATCGATCCCAAGCATGTCGGGATGGACGTATCCGAAGAAGATATGGAATTTGATCTCGAGTGAGTTCGAGAAGGAATTCGAGAAGGAGATATACCCTCAAGCGGAGATTCCCTCGTTGAATTCCCGAACGTAAAGAAAGAAAAAGACGAAGATGTATCGCTATGCCCACGATGCAAGTGCAGTGTTCGATAAATCGACTGCCAAAGCTTTCGAATAGAACAAACAAAGAAAATCGAGAGTCAAAACAAAAGGAAAATGACAAAGTGGAGCAAACAATCCGACCAGCTATCGAAGAAAGTCAACGAAATCTGCTGGATCCGGTGTTAGCGAAATCAAAGGCAATGGGTTAGAAGAGAGATGTACCCCTCTCGAGGAGGAAGAGGAAGACTTCAAAGTAGTGATGTCTTCGAGAGACTATCATACGATGAAGGATCGAATATTGGGTTCCCAACATTCCCAAGAAGATTCCGAGGAAGGCCCTGGAGAAGAGGAGGAAGGATCCCTTACTGGAGTAATTATAGAAACTTTGAAGAGAATATTGTACCGATGGAAAGCCAATATGCAAGAGAGTTTTTCGATGATAAAAATGAAGGCAACTGGAATGAACATCAAATCGGAGTGATATCGATATTGCCCGCGGAATATGTCAACGAATACAAAGAATATCAAGAACAGAGTGATGCTGATCGAGAAGATGACTTCTATTCAGAAAGCATAAGGCCAAAGGTAACATGGGTAACTCAAGCATCATGCGAAGTACCTCACAGAGATGCTGCCTTCATCGATCCCCCATCTGAAGAAATGAGGTTTCATCTGAAACCTTTACTACTGAATATCGAGATCCAAGGACAGATGGTGAACAGGGTCCTTATCGATGGTGGCGCAGCAGTAAACATATTGCCAATCTCCATGCTGAAGAGATTTGGCATTGAGCTGAAAGATCTAGTTAAACACAACATCATGATCTCTGATTTCAGCGGAAAAACATCAGGGTCAGAAGGCATGATCGCTTTAGACGTGAAGGTGGGTACTTACTCAAGGCCTACTGTGTTTGTTGTGGTCCAATCCCATGCCAACTTTAACGCACTACTTGGTAGAGAGTGGATCCATGGAGTTGGAGTTGTACCTTCGACGGCCCATCAGAAGTTATTTATGTGG